ATTCTCTCTCAAATTGCTCCCTCCATAGAGACTACAATTACTGTACCAATAGTTATCCCTACATTTTATCATACAACTTTATTTTCTTTCACTAGTTCATTTTAGGACAATTCAAAATAATGATTGTTAGGTACCAACTTCAATATGCAATATAGGCCACTTTTATGAAATGTGTGTACCTGACAGATCCAAAAGGATAGATACCACCAAAATGTTTACTATGAGGTTTCCCTGAATAATGTGATTTCAGATTGCTTTTCATTTCTAATATTTACATGTATTTTTTATTTTTACAGTGAACAGCACTACCTATATAATATTTATTCTGTTATTTTATGAAAATGCAAAAGCCTGAGATTTCAGTAAGAGTAAATAATATATTTAAAGAATCTTGAAAAGTTGTGGGTTTTTTTACCCTCAACGAAGGACATTTTTGCATTCATCTTCAGGTAGAGCGGGAGGGTGAGAGGGAGGGAGGGAGAGAGAGAAACATGGATGTGACAGAGACACATCGACTGGCTGCCACCCACACAACGCCAACCGGGTCTGGGGACAAACTGCAACCGAGATACATGCCCTTAGCAGGAACCGAACCCTGGTCTCTCTGGACTGCGGGCCAACACTCTAACCGCTGAGCCAAATTGGCCAGGGCGATGGATGAATCTTTAAAAGTTTTTAAATTTGATTTTCCAAGTCAACAATATCAGTTAAGTTTTAAATCTGATTTTTTTTTTTAAATCCTCATCCGAGGATATTTTTCCATTCATCTTCAGACAGCGTGAGGGGGAGAGAAAGAGGGAGAAGAGACACATCGATTGGTTGCCTCCGGCACAAGCCCGACCAGGCTCAAGGACCGAACCGCAACCGAGGTACCTGGGCTTGACCGGAATCAAACCCACAACTCTTTGGTCAGCTGGCCAATATTCTAACTGCTGAGGGTTAAAAATCTGATTTTTATTTTTGGAAAATATTAATAACCCTTCACATATTCCTGCCAAGAATTCTAAAGTTCTTTAGCTTTAAAAAATAACTGTTTTCAAATGCTATAAAAGATATCGAGTCAACTGACAAACTGGAATACAGACAGTATTTGATTTGATTAAAGCAATGTATCAATATTAAATTTCATTAAGTTGATAACTGTTATGTAAGACAGTGTCCTTGGTTCTTCGGAAATACACAACTGAAGTTTTCAGAGGTAAAAGGGCACGATATATGAAACTTAATGTCAAATAGTTTAGCAAAAAATGCATAACAATGAATGATAAAGCAAAGTAGGGGAAATGTTAACAACCGCTGAATCTGGGTAAAGAGCATGAGAGTTGTTTATACAATTTTTGCAATTTTTTGTAAGCTTGAAATGATTTCTAAATAAAACTTAATTGAAAAAAAAAAAGTGCCCTGGCCGGTTTGGCGCAGCGGTTGGTGCAAAGGCCTGAGGACCAGAGTCCCAAGTTCGGTTCCCCCTAAGGGGCACATACCAAAACAAAACAAAAAAGCAACAGAGAAAAAAATAACATAACATTCAAAATTGTCCTAAGAGAACACCTAAGATCACGCTGGACCAACATCAAGCAGGAGTTTATTGGGGGGAAAAATAGCAATATATTTTAAATTGTGCTAATAAAAATACAGGCACTACCAACTTCTCACAAAATGTACAGTTTAAAATGTACATTCATATAACCAAGCTGTTTCAAACATAGTTAAAAATTTTCCAATCACTGATTTGATTATCAGTCTTTACATGTAAAATTAATTGCCCTGGCCGGTTTGGCTCAGCGGTTAAAGTGTTGGTCGGTGGACCAATGAGTCACAGGTTCGATTCCAGTCAAGGGCACATACCTGGGTTGCAATTCACCCTTGGCCCTGGTTGGGGTTGTGCAGGGTACAGCCACTCAACGTGTACCTCTCACGTTGATATTTCTCTCTCCCTCTCCCTCTCTCCCCCCCTCCCTCCCACTCTATCTGAACAAAAAAAAAGGAAAAATATCCTCGGGTGAGGATTGAAAAATAAATAAATAAATAAAATAAAAAATAAATGTAAGATTAATTAAAATTAAATACGACGGAAAACACATTCCTCAATCACACTATCCACAACTGCAAGCTCTGTAGCCACATGTGGCTACGCTATGGGGGAGACAGGTTTAGATGATGAAACACATTTCCTCTATAAGAGGAGGTCCTGATTGTTAAAATTCAGTTTATCATGTTTATCAAAAGATTTTTAACATAGTTATGATAAAATAAGGACTGATACTTTTATCTCCAAGTCATAATCAGACATTCCCTATACCTCCACTCAGAAACATACCAACACAGTCTTCTTTACCTTCTGCTTGCAGGTGTCATACTTTGACTTTCATGAACACTGGCCATCAAATGGCCCACTTATTTCATTTTATTTATTTTTTTACTTTTTTTTTTAACCCTCCCTTGAGGATATATTTTTTTCCACTTATCTTCAGACAGAGTGGGAGGGGGGGAGACAGAGAGAGAGACATCGATTGGTTGCCTCCCTCACGACCCCAACTGGGGCTGGGGATCAAACTGTGCCCTTGATCAGAATCGAACCCAGGACTCTTTGGTCTGCAGGCCGATGCTCTAACCTCTAAGCCAAACTGGCCAGGGCAAGTGGCCCACTTATTTTTAAATGTGGCAGAAAGAACTCAAGTTCTGGATCTCATAAGCTTCAATGTCCACTTATAGAGTGCAGAGTTTCAGCAAAAATAACGTTTGAGAATTCCAAACGGGAGCATGCACACAACAGGATTCGTCTTGGATTTAAAAGAGGAAGTGACTCTGAATACAGAGGTGTTTTTTTTTTTCTTTCTCCTTTTAAAACAGGTGTAAGAGATTAATTCAGTCAACACCAAGCAACACCAAAGATTCTCCAATTAATAATTCTGTGCCAAGCAACTTGATCAGAGATTTGGCTAGAATCCCTTTGGCTAATCTCAATCAAGACCTTCCCAAAGACATCCACATCTAGGCCATTCTCATCTAAATTAAGGTTTAGGCAATCCTTTGCCTGACAATAAATAAATAAAATCAAAACATATAAATAAAATTCTGCCTGCTTGACAAAAGAAAACCAACATTCGAAAAACAATTTAGTGTGGGCAAAAATACAGTTCCGGAAAACAGGAGGTTACCATAAAATGGCATTTAAAAACCGTTTCAGGGAAATGTCTAATTCCTACTTTCTGTCAAGCCAGATTTTTCAACTTAAAAATATAGTAGGTAACAATCAAAATTTAATCCAAAACAAATTCTGATATTGATAGTTCTTTCTCTGCAGGCATACCAGTGTTAATATTCTGCTTAAACTTGAAAGGAAAATGCTCTTTAAAACCGATGAATCCTTTATTGTGAATTCACTAGTGCCTGAAGTTACTCATACTCCTGGGAAGTGAGGTAAGAATGTGAACAATGGTTTTTGTAAGCTTTAAGTTCTATATTCTATACAAATTATTTTTTCCCTTCCCCTCCCATCTCATTAATCTAACTTGCTTTCATAAGACATCATATCGGGGATCAAAGATATAAATCTAACTAACCATTGTGTGGAAGCTAAAATAATAGTAATCTAAAAGCATTTTTTTTAACTCCTGTATCGCTACTTAAACTTTAACTTCCTTTTTCTCCCTAAAGAATCATTTTTCCTAAACCTTTCCCTAAAGCTTTAAGCAGAATAAATACTAACGTTTTAAGCCATTCCATCTGAAAAAGTTTGTTCTTGATTAGTTTTATTTTATGCGTGGAAATATTCAGACATTCTGTAGAACACATTCTAACTTGCGGTTTTTGTTAGAAAGTTCTCTCAATTCCTACGTAATCAAATTCAGTCTCACTTATCTCTAAAAGTAGCTAAATACGCAGAAACCAATTGTAATTTTCAAAATAGTTAACAGGGGAAAGAAATATAAACGACACCACCAGAAACACTCATTCCAGTCCAACAGTTCAAGCGCCATTTCAAGAAGGCAGGTAAAAATAAAGCCCCTCGTCCCCCAGGAACAGAAGGGTTTCTGTGGAGCGGCGGCGCCCAGACACGCTGCAGAACCCGCACCGACCCCAGCGACCAGCCTGTTCCCGCGGCCTCAACTCCAGCGAGTCGCCCGTGAATCCAGGCCACTTAGCCACCTCGCAGCACAAAAATGTTTACAGGGTTATCAGATGCAGAACTACTTAAATTCTGACCCATAAAAGTACGATTAGAAATGAAGAGTTTTTACCTTCCCTACTTGCTGAAACCCACTCTTAAAAGGGAGCAACACCGCCACCAGAGAGGGGTGTCCCCTTTTTACTAGACTCGGGCAAACAGCTCTTGAACAATTCCTCTCGCAGGCCCGGTGCCAGCGCGGTGGACCTCCTGGAGCGGGAGGCAGGCGAGCTGGCAGCAGAGGTACACCCGCGGCCGGGGCAGGCGCGCGCTCGCGGTGCAGCCCGAGCGCTCGCCGGAACCTCGGCACTTCCACCGGGCCACGCTGGGAAGCCGCATCCCACAACGGAGCCCACCTCTCCAACAAAGGATGGACCAGCCGCTTCCCGAAGGGGAAGCCCAACACCGTCTGCGGGGAGCGCGCTGCCCCTCAGCCCGGGGCTGCCCGAGGTCCGGAGCTGCGGACCGAAGCTCGCACCGTCCCAGGGGAGGGCGCGGTGGGCGTCTGGACCGCGCGAGGTGCCCCGAGGAAGCGGCGGGGTCGCGGGCGGGATGCAGGCTGAGGCGGCCGGGGCTGCCCGCCGTCCCCCGCAACCTCCCGCAGCCCCCCGCAGCCCTGATGCCTTTCATTTGGCCTCTGCGGCGGCCGAAGCAGCCCGACCTCCAGCGCTAAGCACTGCACCAAACAGGGGCGGGGGGAGGGAGGGCCAGACCCGCCGCAGCGCCGGACCACCACCTCCCCCCGCACGCTCGCCCCCAGCCCGCCCGCCCGCAGGCCGCGCTCCCAAGGCAGATGAAAAAGACTGTGCTTGGGCGCTCGTCCGCTCCCCACCTCGATGTAGCCGGCCAGTGCCGCGGCGGGTGCCGTGAGGCCGAGCAGCAGCAGGACCAGGAACCTGCCCGTGGCTGCAGCGGCCGCGTTCCCGGTGGCCGCCATCCCTCTCCGGGTCGCTCTACCGCTGGGTCTGAAGCTCACACACACAGAGCGAAGACCTTTCGCACCGCGACCCAGAAGCATCTGAAGCCGCTTCGCCGCCGCCCCGGGGGTTTTACACCAACCGGAACTGACTTCATAAAGCTACGCCTCCCTTCTCCACCATCCAATGCCGGCCTGTAGAATCTCTCCAAGACACTGCCTCTTGGTCATCCCAGACCCAATCAGGGAACGAAAGGGCCTGCCCAGCCGCGCGCCAGGCCCCGCCCCTGCCGCTGACAGCCCCGCCCCCGCCCCGACCCTAGGCCCGGAGGCGAGGGGCTGTGAGCCGAGGTGAGCGGCGGAGGGGCTCCCGGCCAGCCTTGGCCTTGGTCTCAGATCGCAACCACCGCCTACACCCCGTGTGGTTCAGTCGGCGCTGCGCTGGTCACGCCCCGCTCCTCCGCCCTGCGGGGTATTTTCAGATTCCTTTGGGTACCGCCCTCTTTTTGGTTCTGAAAAAATGGTTTTATTAAAAACGGGAATAAAAAACCAGGATACATTTTTCCCAGTCCTGACAGGTTACCGAGGGCCCGCCCCCGAAGCAGGGGAAGTGCCAAGGAGGCAGCCTCCTCCTCTCCCGACCTCTGCACAGGGCGCGCCCCTTTCCAGCGGCTCCCTGGGAGCCGCCTTCGCCCGGTCCTCGCCGCGGTTCTTGGCGCTGTTTTCCACGCTTTGACCTCTGTTCCCTAGGCCTTACCCTTCCTTCCCAGGCCACTCGCGCCTCATTTAGCTGCCTCCCACTGGAGGCCAGTGGTGCAAGGGCCACGTTGGACCTTAAACCCAGGTCCCCTTTCCTGCGTTATAGGAAAAGATCATGTTTCTTTCTTCCTCGGGTTAACATCACTAGCAAGAGAACTGCTCCCCCGTGCCTTCTTGCTCCACTGAATTTCAACTGGGAAAACGTTCTGCTGCCCCATTTCACAGCTGGCACGCCCTCACCACGGCTTTGTTTTCTTTCAGCAGCCATGTGATTTATAACCCACCCTCTGTAGAGTCGTTGCTATTCCCTTTAGGTTCGACCAAATAAATAGAGAGCAAGGCCTCTACCCCAGAAAACAGTAAAAAGGAAGAGACAGTGTCCATAGATTAAACAGAGTGGAGCAATGAGAACACTGGATTTTCCAGTCTTATTGCGTGACGTGCACAGTTCCTGGTGGTTAAACAGGCTCTGCCCCATTCCCCAAGACAACCCATACATTTCCATGAGAGCCCTTCTAGGCCTGCAATGTCCACTCTCCAACATTTACCTGTTGAAGGCATTTGCATTCTTCCTCTGCTTAACTGGATATAATGCCATCACCTCTGGCACCCCCAGAGTGCCTTTCCCATTATAGCATTTGCTCCCTTAGTTAATTCCGTACTTCTCTTATGCCACTGATAAGACTTAAGTAAGTTTACTGCAGGGCCCCCTCACAGTGGAGATCTTAACATGTTTGTGTAGTGTCATTTGTCAACCAATAGTCATTAGAACCAATTCAGCACCAACAGGAATCCCCAGTTTGGGGTCCAGTGAAGAAGGAAACTATTCAGTGTGAAACAGATCAGTGGTGACCCCGCAGGGCTGTGAAAATAGCACAGCTGTGAGGCAGCTCTGGGGCCAGGTAGCCCTGGAGCCAGCCCCCTGCTTCAGCTCGGCAGCTCTGTTCTGCTCTGGTCTAGTCCACTCCACTCTGCTCTGCACTGCTCCTGCGCTCCAGACTGCTCTAGCCAGGGTAACACAGTCTTTAGAGGAAAGGGCAACTGTATTCCCAGAGCCAGAGGGGAGCTGGCTTATATAGACAGCCTCCTGGTCCCTGATTGATACATCCTCATGCAAATGAGGACTCCAAATCCTCTGGCTTTGGTCCAAAAGGCACCGGTCTGATTAGTCAGAATAGAGACGTCTCTATTGGTCCAAGCTGTGCAGCTCCAAGTGGATGGGGAAAACCTCAGTCCTATTGGTTGAAATAGGATTCCAGGAATTCCTTTATTTATTTATTTGTTTAATGTTATTTATTGATGTGAGAGAAAGAGAGAGAGAGGAAGGCATAGAGAAAGACACACTGATTTGCTGTTCCACCATTTATGCATTCATTGGTTGATTCTTGTATGTGACCTGACAGGGGATTGAACCCAAAACCTTGGCATGTTGGGACGATGCCATAACCAACTGTGCTACCTGGCCAGGGCAAGGAAGTGCTTTGTAAGGGCTGGCTCAGATGGCAGAAACAGTGCAGGCAGGCAGTTCAGTACAGAGGATGGTAGTTCAGTGCAGGCTTCTCCCTGACATGACGTTTTTGTGAAAGGCCCCTGCGTAGAAATGGCTGTCAGGCTCTGTTTTGTTTGTTTGGTTGGTTGGTTGGTTGGTTTTGTTGTGTAAATTTGAGCACAGTTAACCGCTAGGAATCCTCCTTGGTAGGTATCTTCTTTCTCTGGGTCCACACACTGAAACCAATTACACTTGGTCCTGGTCCTAGTACTGTTGCTATGGACTAAAGTGTGTTCTCAAAGTGTGCATATGTTGAAGCCCTAACCCCACTGTGGTGGTGTTTGGAGATAGGGTCTTTGGGAGGTCATTAGAATTAGAAAGTCCTGAGCATGGGGCTCTTATGATGGGATTAGTGCCATTATAAGAAGAGAACAAAGCCCGGCAGGTGTGGCTCAGTGGTTGAGCATCGACCCATTCACCAAGAGGTCACCTGTTCCATTCCCAGGCAGGGCTCATGCCCCTGTTGTGGGACAAATCCCCAGTGTGCGGCATGCAGCAGGCAGCCAGTCGAGATGTTCTCTCTCATCGATGGTTCTATCTCTCTCTCTAAAATCAATCAAGAAAAAAAAATATTTTTAAATATGTTTAAAAAATAAAATAAAATTTTCTTTTTTTATTGATTTTTAGAGAGAGAGGGAGGGAGAAAGAGATAGAAACATTGACCCACAGACCAGTGAGTCGAGGGCTTGATTCCAGCCAAGGGCACGTACCTCAGTTGCGGTTCGTCCCCAGCTCTGGTTGGGTTCCTACAGGAGGCAGCCAGTCGATGTGTTCCTCTCATGTTGATGTTTCTTGCCCCCTTCCTCCCACTCTATATGAAGATAAATAGAAAAATATCCTCAGGTGAGGATTAATAAAAAAGGAGAGAACAGGGTGCTTGCTTGTTCCTCCCACTTTTCCCCAAACCCTCTCCCTTGTGAGGACATAGAAGGAGGCCAGAGCTGACCAGCACAGCTGCCTTACTATGGGCAAGCCAAGCCCTTCCTCATTTGGACTCTCCTTCTCTGTCAAGTGTGAAAATTAAAAACCTATCTCACTTCACCAATTTGTGTAATTCCATGAAAAATGAATGTGCAATAGTGGAAATCATGAAGAAACTTAAATCTAAGGGGTGGAAGGAGGGTGAAGCAACACGTTACCAAGTACAAGTGCTTCTGTGAAAGTATGCGTGGAAACAGTATCACGTGATTGTGCAAGTCAGAAGTGGAAGTTCTGCTGTGCAGCCTTGGGTGCGCCTTCTAGTTCCTCTGGGGCTTGTTTCCCTGCCCACACAACCGGGCACTTGAACTCAGGGATCTCTAAATTCCTAGGAACCTAAATGCTGAGAGAGGAAAAAAACAAGTGAAGTTCCCCGAGATCCACGCTTTTAGGGCTCTCTATTCAAAACTGAGCTCTGCCCTGGCTGGTTTGGCTCAGTGGTTGGAGCGTCGGCCTGCAGTCCAGAGAGACCCGGGTTCGGTTCCCGCTAAGGGCACGTACCTCGGTTGTGGTTTGTCCCCAGCCCTGGTTGGTCGTGCGGGTGGCAGCCACTCGATGTGTCCCTTCACGTCGATGTTTCTCTCTCTCTCTCTTCCTCTCTCTCCCTCCCGCTCTAACTGAACAAAAAATGGAAGAATGTCCTCGGGTGAGGATTAAAAAAAAAACACAAACAAACAAAAAAAAAAACTGAGCTCTGCTATCATGGGATGCGACAAGGAAATATGGAAAAATGATGTAGGGAGTGTTCAATCTAAAATTAGTTAGGTCCTGAAAAAAGTTTATTTGCATTTTCAGGTCACTGACGGATCATTAATGGGCGTTTATTGCCCCGTTTGTCATTGTTCTTGACTTTAAAATGTTACCCTCTTTTTATTAAATGAGTAGCCCGTACCTAGTCTTGCAATTCTCAAATAACAATTTTTCATCCTAAATATGCTCATGTCAGTTACCAAGTCGTTTGAAGAGTACTGTGTTTTCATTTTATTGCCCTTTGTGCGTAAAAGTAAAATGCCCTCCTGTTTCTTCTGTCTTCTTAAGAATCAGCCATTCTGCCCTGGCCGGTTTGGCTCAGCGGTTAGAGCATCGGTCGGTGGACTGGAGAGACCTGGGTTCGGTTGCCGCTAAGGGCACGTATCTTGGTTGCAGTTTGTCCCTGGCCCTGGTTGGGGTCGTGTGGGTGGGAAACAGTCAATGTGTCTCTCTCACATCGATGTTTCTCTCTCTTCCTCCCTCTCTCTCTCCTGCTTTATTTGAGGATAAATGCAAAAATGTCTTTGGGTAAGGAAAAAAAAAGAAGCAGACATTCTCCTACGAGTTATCTTCTATGTACACTTAAGATGTTTGCATTTCACTGTTGGGAAATAAGTAAAGTTTATGTTCCTAAATGTACACTTAGCACCACTTACTCATGTGGGAGACAACCAATCGATGTGTCTCTTACATCGTATTTCTGTCTCTCTTCCTTCCTCCCTTCCACTCTATCCAGAAGTCAGTGAGAAAAGTACCCTTGGGTTGAGGATTAACAAACAAACAAAAGAACAAAAAATATTTGTTGAATGAACAAATAACTAAATGAGCTTTACAGTCTGGCAGAGGGGATAAAACTTGTACGTGTATAAGTATAGTACTAGGTGCAAAGTCATCAATGGATGAGAAGAGAGCTGCCTAAATTTTTAAGTCCTCACCCGAGGATCTTTTTCTACTTATCTTCAGATAGAGTGGGAAGGAGAAAGAGGGAGAGAAAGGGAGAGAGAGAGAAATGTCATCGATGTGAGAGGGACACATCGACTGGTTGCCTCCCGCACGACCCTGACCAGGGCAG